CAATGGTTATAATTTAACTCAGTTATTCTACAAAGTAAGAACATAGGTGGGGTGAGGTGGCTCACACCTGTAACCCCAGCACTCTGGGAGGCCGAGGCAGGAGGATCGCTTGAGCTCAGGAGTTCGAGACCAGCTTGAGCAAGAGCAAGACCCCGTCTCTACTAAAAATAGAAAAATTAGCTGGGTGTAGTGGCGCCTGCAGTCCCAGCTACTCAGGAGGCTGAGACAGGAGGATCGCTTGAGCCCAGGAGTTGGAGGCTGCAGCGAGCTATGATGACACCACTGCACTCTAGCTGGGGTGACAGAGCGAGATTCTGTCAAGAAAGAAAGGAGAGAGAGAGAAGACAAATATCTTTTTTTTAAAAGGCAAGAAAGTAGAAAAAAGCAGAAAAATAAGAAATATTGAGGTAGAAATTAAGATTAATATAAAAATCTCAGTATTTAGAACGAGGGCAAATATAAGAAGCGTGCCAGCCTCCTCTGCCTACTGAACTTGCGTGTGTGCGTGAATCCCCCCACGTGACTTGGATGCGGGGACATTCTCCACGTGGGTCATTTCTGTGAACGTGTTGGTAGGAGCCCTTCTCCCGCCAGGGCTACGCAGAAGCCGTCCCTGATTCAGGGTCACGTGGTGAGAGCAGGGACCAGTCTTTTAAATAACCCCGAGCCACTGTTTCGTTTCCGAGTCTCTGTTCCTGTCCTCACTCTTTGATGCCCATACCTTCTGCCGCCCACCGCGACCTCACTGCTGGCGTGGCTCCGTGGTTGTGTGGCCACAGAGCGTGGTGCCGTGCAGAAGGGTGCGGGTTCGGATCCAGCCTGGCCCGGCCCCTGGTCCTGCTGACCTGGGCAGGGTTTCAGTCTTTCTCAACCTCAGCCTTCTCCTCTGTAAGTCAGATAAAACCGCCTGCCTTGGGGCTATGTCATAAAGATCAAATTAGTGCATAAAGTAGGTACATGGTAATGCTCTATAAATTGTTAACGATTATTAGGCAAATTTTGCCTTTTTAAAAAAATCAGTGGCTGAAATAGGCAAAAAATGGCTTACTCACTGTGTTTTAGGGAAGCATATAGTTAAGTAAAGGAAATGATAAAAAGAAATTCACATTGGGCCAGGGAGCCAACACCTGCCAGCCCGTCTGCAGACGTCAGCCCCGGCAGCTGACGCAGTTGTCGGCCGTAGGCCGAGGGGACCTGAAGGCCGCCACTCGCACAGCTCGGGGGAGGTGCTGCCTCTGCCTGGCTCGCCGCAGGTGACCTTCAGATCAGCGTTCTCCAGACAGCGCAGCTTGTCCTTGTAGAACATTTGCAGGGAGAAGTCATCTGCGTCTGGTCTGTGTGGGCGTCAGTTCCTGCTTCCTTTGCACTCCTCCCCAGCTTGACCGAAAGGCAGAGTCCCCGAGCCAGGGCGTCCCTCCTGCCACACGTAGGATTTCCTGCTGGCTGCTCACGGTCGACCCGTCCCTCTGTAAAGGAGGTGTAGTCGCTCAGTGGCCCACCCTGACCCCGAGCTCCCTCTCTTCTCTCTGTGTCCTTCTGCTCACGTGGGCTTCTGCCCAGCCTCATGACAGCTCGGGAGACACCCGACACCCGCGTACCGTCCGCAGGTGTCTCCAGCCGTCTAGGGCAGCGGTGCCTTGCTCGGCTGTCCAGAGCGTTGTTGGAGTTGTGTCTCTAATGGCCTCTGCGGCTACACGTAATTGGTGTAGAAGAAACCTCAGGTTACAGCCTTGCAGAGAGTGGACACTTCGTGGGTGACACGGTTAGTGCAGGAAAGAGGCGGCATCTCCCAGCGTGCATCTGTCTGCTCCCTGCAGCTGGGCGTGGTCCCAGCAGTGTGCCCTGCCGGGTGTCCGGGGACGCCGTTGTGGGTAGAGCAGGGCACCAGCCGTGACGTAAGTGCTGACGTGTTGTCAGACTTCAGCGAACATACGGCTTTGAAAAGTGTCTTTTTAAAAAATTCAGAAATGCCTCGTAGCGGTCTCAGACCGTCACCCTCGTGTGCGGGTCCCTGCGTGTCTGCCTCTGTTGAAGCAGAGATGGCGAGAAGCGTTTACCGTGTGGCCGGCACCTTCCGGCACCTGGGCAGGAGCTCCCGCCCCACGGCCCGGGGAGGAGGGTGCCGGCTTCGCGGGAGTCCTGCACGGCTGACGGGGGCGGGGGGTGTTAGCTGGCAAAGCGGTGAAAGCAGCCGTGTCACCAGCTTTCGTGGGTGTCCTCTCACAGATGGGCAGGCCATGCCTACTTGGCCTTGCCTACTTGGCCTTGCCTTCCTTTCTTTGGCGGATGGCTGTACCGGGTTAAAATTCACCATTTGAGATGTACAGTACGGTGGCTCTAGCTCAGCTGGCAACCTTCACCACGATCTAACTCTGGAACCTTTTCACCCCAAAAAGAAGCTCCGTGCCCGCTAAGTAGTCACTGCCTACTCCGCCATCTCCCCAGCCCCGGCGGCCACTCCTCCGCCTTCGTCCCTGTGGACGCCTCGTGTACACGCAGTCACACCACACGTGGCCTTTTCTGTCTGGCTGCTGTCACCGAGCGTGTTTTCAAGGTTCGTCGTGTTGTGGCGTGCGTCAGCGCCTCAGTCCTTGTTCTGGCTGAACAACGGTCCACTGTGTGGATGAATATTGTGTATCCATTCGTAATCTAGCGGACACCCGGGCTGTGTCTACTTTTTGGCTATCACGAATAACGCTGCCGTGAACATTCTCATGTAAGCTTTAGTGTGGATGTGTGTTTCCATTTCTCTTGGCCACACGCTTAGGAGTAGAATTGCTGTGTCATATGGTGACTTGGTTTGAAAACAAGTATTGAGGAACTACCCAACTGTTTTCAAAGCAGCTGTTCCATTTTACATTCCCACCAGGAGTGTGTGAGGGCTCCACTTCCCCATCCTCGACAACACTCGCTATTGTCCCTCTCGCTCTGTCTCCCAGGCTGGAGTGCAGTGGCCCGATCACAGCTCACTGCAGCCTCCAACTCCTGGGCTCAAGCAATCCTCCTGCCTCGGCCTCCGAGTAGCTGGGACTA